AGACTCATGTAATGGTACAAGATCCCAATGATGAATGTAACTGTATTGTATACCTAAAATGTACCAATAAAGTTAATGGGGAAAAAAAAGAAAAAAAAATTTTATTACAGTAAAAGACACATAACCGTTAATTCCCCTAAAAATCCTCCCCCTCAGTTAAACACTTACCTCATCATGCTTGCCACTTTCTGAAGCAGTTCTGAAAGTCCTCTTTCATGTTGTTAGTTGCCTTATCATGCATGCTTTGATGTTTCATTACCCAGTGTTTACCTTTCAAGGTCATTTTGACTTTGAGGAAGACCCAGAAGTTGCACAGGGCCAGATCCAATAAATAAAGTAAAGGAGGACACACTGTAATGGTTTTACAAGCCTGCGTATGCATTGGCTGGCACTCTGCAGCAGAATACGCCATATTTTTTATCACATCTGATAGAAAGGACTTCCAGAACTGCTTCAGAAAGTGGCAAGAGTGATGGAATAAGTGTGTCCAAAGTGAGGGAGACTATTTTGAATTAGATTAGTGCCAAGGTGTCTCTTACTGTAATAATTTTTGAAATTTAAATTTTGACTATTTTCATCAACCTTGTACCTCATTTCATGGAATCTTCACAAAAGACTTATTCACTAAGTATTTTTATACCTTTTTACAAAATCAGAGTAAGTACAATCCATAAAAAAGAAGTATCTTTCATTCTGGCAGATCCAAAACTAGTCTCATGATAGCAACAAGGGCATGAACTACGCTAATGGTCTTTTGTTTTTCTTTTTCTTTTTTTTTGGCACCAGGGATCAAACTCAGGACCTTGCACTTTAGAGGCAGGCGGCAGAACCACTGAGCTAAATCCCTGGCCCCATTAATGGTCTTATTATAAGACACTTACTAGTGTCGGGCCATGTTCTGTGTGTGTTACTTACATCATTTGATCTCCCTAACAATGCTATGGCATTGTTGTTGTCATCATTCGCCTTTTACAGGTGAGGAAACTAAGTCCCACAGCTGATAATAGAAAAGCAAGGTATTGAGCCTAGCAGCTGGCTTCAGTATCTATGGCCTTAAGCCTCATGCCAATTGCCTGTCTCAGGCAAGGGCCTTGCTCAGATCCTCAGGGCTGGAAAGGAGCACTTCAGGGCTGCACTCTGAAGACTATAGGACTCCAGAGGCTTACTCTTCATCCCAGGGCCTCCCCCAAACTTTCTTCTTGCCAAAGACAACAACAGCATGTGATATCTAAGAGCCTCTACCATTTGGGGGACTTGGAGATTTTGCTTTATACTCTCCTTTATTATCACCCTGGATTTCTCCCCTCTTGCAAAGAAAAAAAAAAAAAACTACAGACCAGCTTTCTCCTATAAACTTGCAATTGGGCCATATGCAATTAGATCCTGCTTCCATCTTAACTACCATCTGGTCACCTCCCCTTCATTGCTCCTTCTTAGAGTATACCCCTAAAACTGTCTCCTCTCCAGGCCTGGTCTCTGCCCAACTCCTCAGTCTTTGAGCTGGATTCCTCTCCTCCTGTTCTTCTGGCCACACTGACACCTCCCACCTGTAAGAACCTTCCACAATATTTATAGGAGCCTCATGAACACAAGCAGATCTCAGACTCCACCTGAGACTTCCAAATATCTGTACCTTTGCTCACTCTTCCTTCCACATGAATAACCTCCCCCAGCCCCCATTTCCTTCTGCTCCAACTCTGCACATCCCCCATGTCCAATCACTCCTCCTAGGAATACTCACTCCTTCCTTTAAATCTTACAAGTCTCTTTTCTGTAACAGTTCTTATTTAAGTATATGTCTTGTCTT